AAACTATGAAACTTTGATAAAAGTGAGAATATATTTTCTTTCTGTTATCAGAAAATGAAAGACTTGAAAACCCTTGCCCTGTAAAACTCAGCCATAATAGCTGGGGTTGTGTTCGGAGTAGCCTGGAAGTTAAGGTGGGTGCTGATCACTGGAGCGCACGTTTCCATCGTGTCAGTTCTCATCGCTACATTAGATTCTATAAGCTCGCCTTGGGCGACCAGTGGTCAAGGCAGCTGACCGAAAGCCTTTCCCTTCCACACCAGTGCAACAATGGAAACATCGATTCCTGAAACAGCTCAGATGGAAACAGAAATATCGACGGGTAGGACCGGGGCAAAGTCTAGGTGTGAAAGATTTCAGAGTGACGGAGATGATGGCGTTGGAAGGTGGTAGACGAAAGGTAAGCTTTTCGCTTTGTTCGCCTTTGCCACAATCTCGCAAAGTTGGTATAAACTCCATCTACGTCCCTGTCGATGAGAATCATACGATTTTTCACATTATTTGTTTATTTTTTGAGTTCGTGTGGGAAAGCAAGTGAAAGGTATGTCGATTTTGTTTTGACTATTTCCTCCAGGCTGAACACATGTCTGTAGTGTCAACTATTCTTCCCGTTATCAAAATGTAACAAAGATAGCAGCATGTATAATAACACTATAACAATAATAAGTAGTCTTCTTTTTCTTCTTTGTACCGTGCCCCATCAGAGCGTAGAGGATAATGGCTCTCCACATTTTCCTGACTTATTAAATATTGTCTTTTTGTTACCTCTCTTAAATATTGCACCGCTATCCATTTGAAGATCGCTAAGAAGGTTATGCGTTGTTTTCCTCTGACCCTTTTACATTCAATCATTCCTGTGAGTATCAAATATTCCAAGCTCTCTTTCCTCATTATGTGATCTAGAAATTTCAACTGTCTCTCCCGGATCTTAATTATGTCCTTTTTGTTTCTATTTTCTCTAAAGCTTCGTGACTGCTCACATGTTCCGTCCATAGTATTCTCAGTATCCTCCTGTAGAACGACATTTCTCTTGCTTCAAATCTTCTTCATCTTTGAGGAGATTGTTCAGCATTCACTGCTATATCGAGGACTGATATTACATGAAACTTTTTGTACTCTGTTGTTTCTAAGGAAGTTTTTTTTGTTTCTTAATATTTTGCCGAACTTTTTGAAGGCATCTTTCGCTATCCCAATGCGCCTTCGGATTGCAATGTCGCATTTTCCATTCTCTGTTAAAACACTACATAGACACAATTAATATAGCTTATAAAGGTAAGTAAATAAATATATGTATGTATAGTTGGCCACTCGTACTCGAGGATACCTGTCTGCAAGGGCGGCTAGCCAATCCCTATTGCAGACGCTTACTCAGGCGCATTTGTGTTTATTCAACACCCACAGAACCCAGTTCCTGTTTTTATTGCAACTATGCTGAACTGACCTTAGTTACAGTTTCTGGGAAAGAACGTGTGATCTAGCGTGATCACCAATTTGAACGCCAGCGTATTCAAGCGCTCGGCCACGATGACATGTGGCTTCGTGCTAGCACAGCTATCGACGGTCCCCAATGGTTCCGTCTACCCAATTTCAATCACAAGGCTTGGGTCAACCCGTGGTATGGTTTCCAGACACTTTACAAAGATGCCGCAAGCTGGGATCGAACCCTCTATTCCGATAACACCAGAAAGTCTCCTTACTGACAAATCTACCATGGTGAGATAAAAAAAAGAACCAGGGTCTCATGGTCATGGTTCTAACTAATCGGTCTATAGCCTGTTAATAAGTGACATTTTGACATGGCACGGTGTGGATTTGATTTTTCTTTGTTTTCTTTTATATTTGATTTTATTTGATTTCGGTTTTCATAGAGCTAATCTGAATAACAATATAGGTTTTCTATTACTTCTCAAATGCTTTCTGTGCATACATATCCATGACGTTTACTCTGCACAGGAGTTGATAGGTTCGTCTATCGTCCGGTTAACCCTCCCCGCTGGTCTTTGGAACAAGTGTAGAGGTTTTTACTTTGTCCTCTGTTTATGATTGGGTATTCAGTTCCTTCAAAAGTCTTTTAATTCTTTTCCACTTCCGGTAGCCCCTTCCGTTGTAGTAACGTTGCTTGGGGTGAATTGATTAAAAAAATCCCTCTATTTGCATTCTAAAATAGCTGGATATTTGCGGATTAGAACAATCTTTAATACTGACGAAGCTTCCTCCTTACTCTATAACCTATTAAAATCACCAGTTGGGAGTAATGTTTTACATATTTTCATCAACTTGTTATTTAGTTTCCTTAGATCATTTTAAGAAAAAGCCTATTCATCTCACCATACAATATAACAGATTTTATTAAGTGATTCAATGTTTTCACAATAAAATATACTTTTGTTCCGTGTACGTGTGAATGTTATTACATTCGTCTTCTTAGATTGTGTTTTACTTCTATTTAGGTAATTACCTATTTAGTTCACCTATTTAGGTAATTACTTTTGTTTCATCCTGGCATTCACACTTTGCTAGAATCAATTTCATGTCATTCAATATGACGTCATTTTAACGGTCAGACTGGAATTTCCATGTGAATATTAAAAAAAAAAAACACTTCAGTATACGATGCCTTATGGAGAAAGATACCTTTTTTCATATAGGCTGTTTTTTTTTTGTTACCCCACCCCAGCATTTTGAGTCTTTCTTTACATCGTGTCGTACATAAAGTTTTTGTGTTATCTACCAAAATGTCCTTATCGGATATAGAATTGTGTGAAAAAATAGATATAAAAATTCCAAAATAATATAAAATAAAAATAAATATGAACTTTGGCAAATAATATTGCATATATATATATATATATATATATATATATATATATATATATATATATATATATATATATATATATATATATATATGTGTGTGTGTGTGTGTGTGTGTTTAAAATTTCATATAGAATATATGTTAAAAGAAAATATGAACGAAGACAAAAGGAAAACTTATATTTATAAAGACCCTGGGAGAAACACCTCGGCTAAGGTAAGTTTTCCCTTTGTCTTTACACACACACACACACACACACACACACACACACACATATATATATATATATATATATAACTTATATGTATAACTAACTTTGAAAAGAATCTTCTCAACCATCCGAGAGAATTAAGAATTAACACTAAATCTCGGGCTAATACATCAACCCATATGATGATCAACCCTTCAGTATGCCCTTCGTTTGGACTTGTTTGCAAATCCCGTGCAATTTTACTGTCACATACGAAACATAGACATATAAATTGCACCACCATCATCATATATATATATATATATATATATATATATATATATATATATATATATATATTAACGATGGACCATGTTGTCTATAGAATTAATATATATTTAGTCTAGGTGTAATTCCTTAATTTGAAACTTCTTTTGGCGTGGTTCTTAGAAGATTAGAAATGAACACTGTCTTACATGAATATAGTCTTTAGCTTCAAGCCTCTTGGCGTAAAAAAGTTATAACAATAGAAATTAAAAATGAAAGATAATGACAATAGGAAATATCAACATAAATTAACTCTTTGATATTATCTGTGTATTAAATAAAGAAAATATTATCATCGAATAAAAAGTTATTATATAATCTTATTTTTTCGGGACAAATTAAATTGGATTAATCGAATCTCTTTTTCTTTTGTAATGCTATCTGAGTCATTGATGCATAATTTTAAAATATGTTTACTTTAGTTTATATCTTTAATATTTCCATGAATACGATTTTGGGATGAAACGTACACGATAATGTTTATTACCCTCTTAGCATATTCTCATAGACATCGCCTTGCATATTTTTGCCCTCGATGTGTAAGAAGCAATAAAATAATCCAGTTTCTTAAAGTGATAAGAGTGCTTATTACGAATTGTTAGTGTGCATAATCCGAGCAGACCAAAAAAGGAGTATTACTGCCAAATCTGAACTGGAACTGTCAAACTGTCACTTTCCAGCCTTCATAAAGTTCAAAAGCATCTCTACGGACTTGTGGGTGATACAGTATTTTAATTACTATAGCCTCTTCCCCATAGATGCAACTTTGCAAGCCTATCGCTAAGCAGTTGCTATTTCCATGGTAAATGTTCAGATGAACTACATCACTTAGTACCCCGTCCTGGTTATGATGATAAACTACATCCGCGTCCTGAGTAAGACGATAAACTACTTCCAGCAGAAAGGCCTCTGATCAGGGGGTTTTGAGGAGCTTGGAACCACCTTTTAATTGCTGGTGTTCTCAGGTCCACTCTGACCTGGGGTGGTAGCACCTGTTAGGGTCCCAGCTATGGGCAAATAGTTAATCCAAAAACTGGGATAAAAACACTATAAAGGTGTAAAAATAGGTTTTAATATCGGAATTACTTTGTAAAAAACTATTACCAGCAATACCTTTTTGAAAAAGAAATTACTTTTATCAGCGATACATTTATTGAAGGAAAAATTAGAAAATAGATTTTTGATAAAATACAATATTACCAGCAATAAAAATTTTGTCGGCATTACATAACCCATTGTAGTTGATGTCGTAAAACAAAAGAAACCAAACCAATCACTTAGTTCCATCAGCTCAGGCTAATTTTCACCTAGGACTGGTCATGTCATGTACACAGGGTTGAATCATCCACATTACCCCCGCATTCTATTAGTAAGAAAAACATTCCACACAGCTTCTCCCCGAGAACGGCTACTTAGTGTATTTGTGTTCCAATAGAATAATTCTCTGATCACTACAAACCTAACTCATTCAAGTAGAGTATCAACCATCATCTGTCATATATTCTCATAATATGCATCTAATTCCCTCTCTTATGTCTATAAAACAAACTCATTCATTAACGCGCTACCTTGAGTTGTTCTCGGGCCTTGTATTTGTTGGACTTTTAGTAAAAGAATAATTATAATAAACTGATAATCTATATACCAGCCTTAATCAAGAAGTAATCA